AGGAAAAATATACTCCTCCCAGGCATAAAACAATTTGAAGAATGTAAAAACTACTTACCGGATCATAACTCTTTGCTAATATATAATCCAATGCAGCGTCAGTCACGGCCAATGCTACACCGCGCTCGGCAAGGCGACTGGCAACATCCTTCATTTGCAGCCTGGCAACCTTTCTCAGTTGCTCATGCGACAGTGGATCAAAAACAACTATCTCATCGAGCCTATTTAGCAACTCAGGTCTGAAATGCCTCCTCACCTACCATAATCACCCAGAACAGTCAAGTCAGCACTTATACATTCAACTCTTTAACAGTTCAAACACCAAAAACGCTTGAGAAAAGAAAGGGACATTTTGCTTACCTCCAGCATCACTTTTTCTCGAGCAGCTTGCATCGAAGACTTGCCTGTTAATCCCGAAAGAAGGTGTTCTGCCCCAAGATTTGAAGTCATGATGATCACTGTATTCCTAAAGTCAACGGTCCGGCCTTGACCATCGGTTAATCTTCCATCATCCAGCACTTGAAGCAGCGTGTTGAAAACAGCAACATGAGCTTTTTCCACCTCATCAAATAACACCACACTATAAGGCCTTCTTCTCACCGCTTCAGTGAGCTGTCCACCTTCCTCGTGTCCGACATATCTGAAACTCACAAAATATTGAATCAGCTGCTGTTCTTCTTCAAACCCCGGTAAGCACATTGAAAGCAAAACAAAAGTGAAAAGCACTTACCCTGGTGGAGCACCAATCAGACGTGAGACAGAATGTTGCTCCATATACTCAGACATGTCTATCCGCACTAGAAGATTTTCATCGTCAAAGAGCTGTTCTGCAAGTGCCTTGGCAAGCTCGGTCTTACCAACACCAGTTGGACCCAAGAACAAGAATGAGCCTGTCGGCTGCTGTGGCCTTCCTAGACCTGCTCGTGACCTCAACACAGCCTCAGCAACAGCCTCAACAGCTTGATCCTGTCCAACTACTCTCTTGTGTAGCCTATCAGCAAGCCCGATTAACCTCTCTTTCTCATTTTGGCCAAGCCTAGTGACAGGAATGCCAGTCCACCGGCTCACAACCTCAGCAATGTGCTCTGGTCCAACAGTTTCAGTTAAAATCAAGTTTTCATCAGTGTTCCCCTCAAGCTGAGCAATGGCAGACTCCACTTCCTGAATTGCCCCGTATCGCAAGTCTGCTGCTCTT